CTGATACATCCTGAGAGTGGGAAATTTGGAAAATGCAGAAAACTGTCAAAAAGAGTGACAATCACCTCTAATTTCTGTGCCCAGAGATAACACAGGCGATCCATTTGTGTGAAGAAGAGAGATTAAAAGAGAAAAGAGCAAGAGGGTAATGCCAGCTCTCTCTGGAAATCAGTTAGCTGTGCTGTTTCCTTTGCAATGCCTGCTTGGGGGAAGTCCCCTGGGGACAAGCCCCTGCACCTTTGAGGGCCAGAGATCCTGGATCCCGCCTCTGCGGTTCACCTGAGCCACAGAAGTGGCCGATGCCCAGGCTGGGGTGGGTGCTGTACAAGCATTCTGCATAATTTGCAGGGCAATGTGAGTTTACTTCCACATGATATAAAGCTGCAGGGTTTGTTGTGGTGACATGGCAGCTCTATCCCAGTGTACTAGGCCTGTCTATGGAGGAGCTTCCCATTGCCAGGACCCCCTGCCCCTCTCCCGTGGAGGGGCACCATCCTGGGAGGGCTGCGGGATGCTTTCTCGGGCAGCTCACTCCATGTACTGGGAACCACCGGCCTTTTCCACCTGCCAGCTGGGGATTTTTGGAGCCAGGTGGAAACCAGGAACCTCGAAGTGCTGGGGCAAAGGGAGGAATCCCAGGTAGCGGGTGAATGGGGCAATATTATCCCGAGGGAACAGGAGAGAAATGTAATCCTCTATTTCCGGTGAGTCTTTGAATTGAAACTTCATTCCATTTGGGCCCCTTTGCCCCAAAACACTGGTGTCTATGCTGTTGTCAGTGTTTGCCAGCAATTCCAACACATTAAAATTCACATTCCTTCCCACCTTCCTCTTCTCCTACTTGGCACAAACCGTCACTGTGCAATGGCACTGGGTCATGGGCCCTGACAGCCGCAAGAGCAACCTGCTCCCTGCCCAGCCCTCTGCAGTTCCCTGGGGACTTTCATGGGCACAAGTGATCCCATTCACTCCTGTCACTCCTCCAGCAGGGCAGAAAGTGTTCGATCTTTATCTTAAGACAGAATCCCAGGGGGATTGGCCAGCCTTACACGGATCATACCCAGTGGTTTACTTTTATTTTTATTTTCCTTTTGAGATGGGATCTTGCTCTGTCACCCACGCTGGAGTGCAGTGGCATGATCAGAGATCATTGCAGCCTTGACTTTCCCAGGCTCATGCCATCCTCCCAGCTTAGCCTCCTCAGTAGCTGAGCTCACAGGCACATGCCACCATGCCCAGCTAATATTTAAATTTTTTTTATAGAGATGGAGGTCTCATTATGTTCCTCAGGCTGGTCTTGAACTGCTGAACTCACACACTCCTCCCATCTTGGCCTCCAAAAGTGCTGGAATTACAGGAATGAACTACTGTGCCCACCCTTGGTTTATATTTTTCAAGCCACTTTTACCCTTATTTTTTTTTAAGTTGTGGCAAAATACACATAACATAAAATTGATTGTTAGTGGCGTTTAGTACAAATTGGGACATTGTGCAGCCATCACCACTGTCCAACTCCAGAACATTCTCATCCTCCCAAAGGAAATCCCGCACCCGCTATCTGTACCGAGAGCCATTATTATCTCTCTAGGCCACATACACGATGTGTCCCTGAACACGAGGCCTCACTCTTCTCCCCATTGGGGTGCTGTTTCAGAAAATGCTAATTTGAATGTATAAGCTTTTAAGGCAATCATGTTATTTTAGTGATACATATATATGTATATATGTTTTAAATCACATACTATGTAAAGGAACATTTAAAAATACTGCTTTCCCCAACTCTTCCATTTCTGAGACATTCATTTCATGTGAAACGTCGTGTTTACCGTCATCTTTGACATCTGCGTTCTTCTGGTCACTAGAACTCTTTGTGTCTTGCTTCTCCTTTGGCAAATATCATTGTCCCCACAGTCAAAGAGAGTTAGCTGCTGCTTCTTAATCCAGGAGGTGTTTATTTTTTTTTGATAAAAGCTTTTCTTGAGATATAATTCAAATACCATAAAATGCACCCGTTTAAAGCGTGCAATTTGCTGAATGTTGTATATTCCCACATCTTTGCAACATCACATCATCTAGCTCCAGAGCTTTCTTATCCCTGCTAAGGGGAACTCAGTGATCATTAAGCAGTCACTTCCCATCCCTCCTTCCCGCTGCCCCTGCAACCACTAACTATATTCTGTCTCTATAGATTTACCTATTCTGCCTATCCCGTATCAATGGGATCATACAATGTGTAGAAAAAACCGCAAACTGTTTTTCTCTGCTCTCACTCCATAACAATCGACATGGAAGACTTCTGTGACCCCCAAAGATGTGGGGATTTCTCCCACTCGCAAGCCGGCAGTCAATTCTGCAGCAGAGACCAGCTGGGTGCCTTCTAATTCAATTCAGATACCATCCACCTGGAGACAGCTCAGATCCCACAGGCCGAGGGCTCAGTCCCTAACACTGCCCCCCAATTTCAGTGCCGATCACAAGTCCCAGGTTTTTTACTGGTGCTTCTAACCCACTGGCTATACATTGAGGTTCTCATGATCCCCTCTCTGGGTTCAACTAACTTGCTAGAGTGGGTCACAGAACTCAGGGAAACACTGGCATATAAGAGACAGTGTAAGTTACAGGTGATGAGATGCATACCGTAAGGTGTGGGAAGGTGTACAGAGCTTCCACACCCTCCCCAGGCTCATCACCCCTCAGGAACCTCCAATGTTCTGCCATTTAGAAGCTCTTCAAAACCTGTCCTTTATGGTTTTTATGGAGGCATCATTATGTAGCATGATTGATTAACCCAGTGGCCATTGGTGATCAGCTTCACCTTCAGCTCCTCTCCTGTCCCTGGAGGTTTGAGGGGCGGGGCTGAAAGTCCCAACCCTTTAAATGCTCCCTTGGTCTCCCTGTGACTAGCCCCATCCTGCTGCTACGTAGGGGCTGCCAGCCCTCAGTCATGCAAAAGGACATCGTTTTGGAGATTCCAACTATCTTAGGAGTTGTATTCCAGGAAACAGGATCGAAGACCAAATAGCTATTTTACAATATCACCTTCAGCGTGTGGCTTTTTGCGACTGGCTTCTAGTACTTTGCACAGTGCGTTCGAGGTTCCTCCACGCTGTGGCATGTGGCAGTGCCTCAGTCCTTTTTATGGTGGAATCATGTTCTCCTGTAAGGATTTACTGCCTTTTGTCCATCCGTTCATCAGCTGATGGACATTTGTTTGGACCAAAGGCTGTTCCCACCCTTTGAATCTTGTGAATAGTACCGAATACTACCATGATTCTTTGATTAACCACTCTTTGCAGTATAATTATCCACACTTTACAGAGGAGCATGGAGGCAAAGCAATGGGGACCTCAGTCTTATCCTGTGCCCCCCTCTGTCCAGCACGTCAGGGCTGGTCTTCGGGCAGAGTCCCTGGCTGACGCTGGAGAAGGAGGAAGAGGCTGATTCCTCAATAAGCCCGGGAGAGCCCAGGGCGCACTTAACTGCCGAGAGGCCTGCTGAGGGCCTTTTGCTCACTTTTCAGGCCTGTGCAAAGCATGAGAAACAGAAATATGTCTATGCCGAGAGTACATGTCCCTAAGGGCCCTTTCTTGGGCTTGCTCAGGTTTGGTGGTGAGAGGAAGCCTCGCAGAATCCAGCAGCAGCTCTGCTGGGGACACGGTCCAAGGTGCAACCACAGCAAAGCCCTGATCTGACCTCCTGATGCTCAGGGGAAGCCATGGGCCCCTCCTGTCCTGCGCTTTTGTCCTTCACGAAGCTCAGCCTATGGTGGCTCTTTCTGATCCCAGCAGGTGAGTGCCTGTCGCCTGTCATTGTAAGACTTCATCTCACACCTGTCGGCTTACAAAAAACTCTAGGGAGGAGTCTGCAGGTGGACTCGTTGCAACTGTCAAAGCTGCAGGGGACTTCAGAGGCCATCAGCCAGGTGGCTGGTTCCACTGGGAGAGGTGGAGGGGCAGTCACAGCTCTGATGAGAGCGTCTGTGTCACCTTAAATGTCTTCAAGCTTCACTGTCCTCAGCTGCAAAACGCAAATAGTGTTGCGGACCTCCCTGGCCTATTGTGAGGATTAAACAAAAGTTTGTGACCAGCATCCAGGATACAGGAGGCACTCGGGACACAGCGTTCTGTCACAGATGGTGCTGACAAGTTTTTCTGGGATTTGGAGCTGTAGTTCTCGGCTTGCTTAAACAGCAGAGCACTGAAAGGGTGAAGCTGTTTGCTGAACATAGTGAAAATTGACATGAGTGATGTCATAGAAACATTTTGAAATGCCTTATCTGATAGGAAGTAGCAAATATCCCGCGGTTTAAGAAAAAATTGGGGACCTTCCCAAAGTAGTCAATTTCCACACTAGCATGACTGGTTCATTGGACAAGTGGGTGGGAACGGGAGGCTGCTTCCCCTGGTCAGATTCACTGCAATGCCGAATCCCTTCTCCTTGCAGCCCCCCACCTAAACCAGGTGTCTCCCCCACTTCCCTATCCCCGCCCCCACGGGGCTGCTCCATGTGGAGCTGAATCTTGTCTCTAGATTCAGCTCTCCCCACTTCCCAGCCTCTGGCCCTTCCTCTCGCTGTGCCCCCCCAAACCCGGCAGTGCTATTTCCCACTCTTTTCTTCTCTGAGGCTGCAAAGCAGCTGACCTTTCCTGAGCTCCAACCCCACAGCCTGCTCATGCTGTGCTCAGCTCTGATAGACACCATCATCTGCCATCCTCAACAGTGTTTTGAGATAGGTTCTGGAGTAGCAGCTCCATTTTACAGATAAGCAAACTGAGGCTCAGTGAGGCTAAATGGCTCTGATTTGTGGCAGGTGGAGAGGAAGCCAAGCACCTACCTTCCAGGGCTCCCGTAGACCCCCTCTCCTCTCCCAGCCCCACCGCGTTGCCGCAGGGAGGCTCCCACACCCAGGCTGAGGACCGGCTCTTCAAACACCTCTTCCGGGGCTACAACCGCTGGGCGCGCCCCGTGCCCAACACCTCGGACGTGGTGATCGTGCGCTTCGGGCTGTCCATCGCTCAGCTCATCGACGTGGTGCGCCTGTCCTCCCATCCCTGGTCCCGGGAAAAAGAGATCCCAGACCACCCACCACTTCCCCGGCCCCTTAGTCTCTCCCATCCGGGCCCTGACGCACAGCTGTGACCTGGGGTCGCGGTGGGGATGGCTCTTCCCGGGGCTGCCACGCCCTCCCCTCTCCCAGCTCTGGAGCCCCCTTCTAGGAGGGCATTGATTGGAAGCAGTGTCGGTGTGACCCCGGAGGATCTGAGTAAGGGTGGGGGTGTCAGAGTGAGTGTCAGGTGGGCTGGGCTTGGGGTGTCCGTCTGATCAGCGGGTCTGAAACAGCCCATCCCACTCCACCCTGTCTTCTGGGCCCACCCCTCTAATTGCCCCTCTTTCTTTCTGGGCCAGGATGAGAAGAACCAGATGATGACCACCAATGTCTGGCTAAAGCAGGTGAGGGCCCCTCCTCCAGTCCAGGCGGGAGGGGATGGGGAACCGTGGACCCCAGAGCCCCCCAGGATTTCTTTGCTAGTGAGAGACCAGGGAACAGCAAGACCCTGAACTCACAGTTTACCAAGCAGGTGCCACGTGGGGTGTTCCCAAAGCCGACTTTTTCCACAGGGCCTGTGCTCTGTGGCTGGACTTGAGTCTAGTGCCTGAGAAGGTTGCCTCCCTGCTACTTGGGAATCCTCCCCAAACTCCCACGGGGGGTTCATTCTGCCCCTTTTATAGCCCAGGAAAGCAGGAAGCAGATAGCAGCTGGGCTGGAAAAGGGGGCCCAGCTGTTCCTGACTCCAAGCCCCAGGCTTCTCCTACAGGAGAACGCTGAGTGCTTAATGTCTGTGCCGGCCACCCAAATACCCCAAACTTACAGGCTCCCAGCAGCTGCCAGCTCACTGGATCTCACGGCTTTAGGGCCAGGAATATGGGCGGTTTCTTCTGCTTTATATGGCGACCACTAGGATTACTTGGTGGTATATAACTGAGGGTTCTTCTGCTCTGGAGGGTCTAGGACAGCTTAATTCACACATCTGTCCCTTAGCAGGGATGTCTGGAAGGCTCTGGAAGGTTCTGGAAGGCTGGACTCAGATGGGCCCCTCACCCTCTTCAGGCACCCTCAGGGTCTCTCCAGCAGGGGAGTCGGACTTCTTGCCTCGTGGCTCAGGGATTCCTGAGTGAGGGACCCAAGATACAGGAAATAAAAGACACGGGCCAGCATTAATCTTGTTGTATACTACTGGTCAAGATGGTCTTGGAGCCCAGTTAGACTAAGGAAAGGGAGCATGGATCCTGCTTAGGTTGGAGGCTTCCCTCCCTCTGAGGCCGTCACCTAGGCGCTGTTAGGGGTCACTTGGCTCATCTTACGGATGTGCCAACTGAGGGCCAGAGGGAAGCAGGAACTTGGAAGCTACCCAGTCATGCCGTGTGTGTATGCAGGGAGGCAGGCCTTGAACCTGGTTGCCACAATCGTCCCCAGAGGTTGGTCGCCTGGGCTTCAGGGTTGGGGTGGCAGGGCAAGGAAGGAGTACTGGAGTTGAGTCAGGCCAATCAGCAATGCCTCTGATTGGCTAGTGATACTGGGTGAGCTATGTAACCGCTCAGAGCCTCAGTTTCCTCATCTGCAAAGTGGGGATAACACATTCTACTGCCACATACCTGGGAGGATTAATGTACCCCAGTGTGGTAGGGGTGCCTCGAAATGCTGGTTGGACCTGAAACTTGACAGATGGACTATGGAGAGAGACTAGGAACCGGATGGAGGTAGGGGTGCTGCCTGGGACCTGCCTTGGTGGAGGTGGGGTGGGGCCCAGCCTGGTGGGACCCCTGCGGGGCACTTGGGAGCACAGCTTGAAGGTCCCCAGGTAACTCCCCTGCCTCGCTGTATGCCTCTGGCAGGTTGATTCTCCTGTCTCTGGTCCTCCGTTTGCTCATCTGCTACATGGGGAGATGCTTTCACCCACTCTGCTTGCCTGCTTGCCTTCCCTGCTGGCCTCTCCCATGGAGGCTTTTCCTAGATGGAGAGTGTAAAACAAACCATCAATTGTGATGCACTAAAAAGGAGAGACTTCACTCGAGATGAGTGAGGTGGCCCACCGGGGTCGTCCAGCCGGGGATAGACAGCACGAGGACTAGAGGCAGGACCAGGGTGACCTGCGTGTGCCCAGGACCTGGACAGCTAACGTCTGGGCAAAGTGGCAAGGGTGGTTACTTGCTCAGAGCCCTTTCCCAGCACCGCAGCTCCCTCCACTCTTCCGGGCTGGATGGGGAGCCCTGGCTGCTCCGAGGGGGCTGTTCCGCCCAGTTCTGGTCTGGGCATCCCCAGGCTGCACTAGCTTTGCCCTAGGCTGCTCCCTGGAAGCGAGGTTGACACAAGTCCCTCCCCACACACAGGAATGGAGTGACCACAAACTGCGCTGGAACCCTGCAGATTTCGGCAACATCACATCCCTCCGGGTCCCTTCCGAGATGATCTGGATCCCAGACATTGTCCTCTACAACAAGTAGGAAGCCACTGGGGTCGCGGGGCGGGGAGGGGAGAGGACGGGAGGACCCTGCCGGGGGTGCGCCCCTGGAGTCAGCTTCCTCGGCCTCCCTCATGACTGCTCTGCGGAGGTTGTCTCCCCCTCCCCATTCCTTCATTTATTGCCTTTTGTTCTCATCTACACCAAAATGAGTGGTAGCTGAGCACCTGTTGGGGATCAGCACCGGGCACTGTGTTAGAGGGACAGATTTGTCAATACTGAGTATTCTTTGAAAAATGTGGTGCAGGCTCAAAAAACAATCCCGCGGGGTTGGAGTTGTGAGGGCAGCAGTGTTGTGCAGACAGGCAGGCCAGTACCTTCAAAGGGCATGTGCTGACTTGCTCCGTGGTTTTCTTTCTCCCAATCATGTTATTTTACAGTTGTCTTCAAAACTAAAAAGGAGCAATCTTTGACCACAGTGACAAGAGGTTGGTAGAAGGTAGAGGAATCTGAAGAGAGTCCCAGTGGACAAAAATAAATCAATAAAAAAAGTTTTGGGCCGGACGTGGTGGCTCACGCCTGTAATCCCAGCACTTTGGGAGGCTGAGGTCGGCTGATCCCAAGGTCAAGAGATCAAGACCATCCTGGCCATCACGGTGAAACCCTGTCTCTACTAAAAATACAAAAATTATCTGGGTGTGGTGATGTGTGCCTGTAGTCCCAGCTACTTGGGAGGCTAAGGCAGGAGAATAGCTTGAAGCCAGGAGGCAGGGTTGCAGTGAGCCTAGATCACACCACTGCACTCCAGCCTGGCGACAGAGTGAGACTCCATCTAAAAAAAAAAAAAAAAAGTTTTGATAGAATAAATAGACATCTATAATCTCATTTCTGTGTTCGATATCAGGCAATTCTTCCCTTAGAAGTTAAGAAGTTAAGATGAAAAGATGGTTGGTGTTATGTTCATCTAAAAATGTTTTCTAAGGTGGGGCTGTAAGGAGGATGGCTTCTTTGAGTTATAAATAGGTGTGAAAAAGGGCTCTGTGGTCAAATAATTTAGGATAACATTGTACGGCATAACCCCCACCCCCGTCCCTGCCTAAGGCCTTTGGAAAATGGCAGAGCACAATAGCATTTAAAAAAATTGTATTAGAAGGTCAGCAGCAAAGACACCCACCTAGTCCATCACTTCCCAATTCATTTGATCCTACTTTGGAAACGCTATTTTTAAAGAATGAAATAAAAGGCAAAACGACCCATTTCTGGATTTTGCATCTTCAGATGGGTCAGATGGGTTTTTTACACCGTCCAGTTCTGGTCAGAACTAAGCCCTTTCACTGAAGCCATTTTGTCGAACACATGTTTATTACGGGTTCGCACACTGGCAGCTCTCACACCGCAGGTACCTAGTGTTTGCCGCTGCTGTGGGACTCACGAACTCCCCACCCCATGATAGCTCTGTGCCCATAGCTGGCACCCAGGATCCTTCAAGTTTCTGCTTCCTGTACATGTGGCAGAGGTCAGGAGCAAAGTCCTACATCAAACATGACTTTGAGTTTGAGGATTAACAATAAGACTTCAGCCAGTGTTACTTGATTATTACAAGAAATTTTTGGGGGGCACAAAATTCCCAGCCAAAGTCTTGCTGACATTTAGAGAAGGATCCCCTCCACCCAGATACCCACTCAAGGTTAACTGGAAGGCCTTAAAGAATTTGCAACGTTCCTTCCCCAAAATGAGCACATGTTGCCATCTAGCGGTCATTGCGTGTGAAAAACAAAATGCTTAAAACAAATTCTTTTGGCCGGTGCTGTGGTTCACGCCTGTAATTCCAGCACTTTGGGAGGCCCAGACGGGCAGATCATGAAGTCAAGAATCGAGACCATCCTGGCCAACATGGTGAAACCCCGTCTCTACTAAAAATACAAAAATTAGCAGGGTGTGGTGGCTCGCGCCTCTACTCCCAGGTACTTGGGAGGCTGAGGCAGGAGAACCACTTGAACCCGGAAGATGGAGGTTGCGGTGAGCAGAGATCGTGCTCTGCAGCCTGGTGACAGAGTGGGACTCTCAGAAAAAAAAAAAAATTAATTTTTTTTTTAAAGCAAGGTATTTGTTACTCTCTTTCAAAGTTCCTATTTCCAGCCTGCATATATCTTTACCATGGAACTACTCCATGGGGAAAAAAAGCCCCGTGTTTCCAAGCACTCTTCTGATTTCTTGGAGTTTAGGATTGACTGTGGGAATTGGAAGGGGAGGGACGATGGTGAAGACTAAAGCAGGAGCCCACTGAGCCACCTCCTGGCAGAATCAGGGACTGCGGTTTCCGGGAAGTGCTGCCTGACAGGTCACCATTATTCCAGTGTCCCCAGACCCCTTGTGGGTCCTCGAAAGCCTAGTCCCCAGATACCGACTCGCTCTCTACTCTTAGCCCCAGCACGCCCTGTGAGTATTGCACTTCCCACCTGGTCCCTGGGGAGACCCTCTACTGGAAGGTTCTCCTCCCATTTCTCAGCCAAATCCTAGCTTCGGCAGGCTTCTCCATGACCCTGCTCACTTTCCAGAAGGGAGTTTCCCCCTAGAGGGTCCAGGTAACTAACACCCGGACCACCCTCCTAGTGTTGCCACCTGCCTCCCTGATGTTGCAGTGGTTCCTGGAGACGTCTCATTTCCTCATGACTCTTAAGGACAGGGACCTTATCTCATATTCCTCTTCTGCACAGTTCTGATACAGGCCCTAGTGGATAAGGCTGGCTCAAAAACGCATGTTAAATGGATACACTCAAGGGAGTACCTTTACCCGCAAAGATGTTGGGTCTCTTCTGAGCAAGGATGATCCCAGGTGGAAATGGAGTCCCCTCCTGAGGGGCCGACTCACCATCTGCTTGGGAAGAAAAACAGACACACAGATATCACTCTAAAATATTAAACCTTCAGTGCGCAGGACAGCTCTGACCCCCCCCCCCGTGATGTCATCTCCACCCCAACCAATCAGCAGCAAGCACATTAGCCACACCCACCCCTCCCCCAAAACTGCCTTTGAAAAACTTCTAACCTGCAAACTTCGGAAGAGACGCTTTGAGTGCTAACTCCATCTCCTACATGGCATGGCTGGCCTTGTGTCTATTCAACTCTTTCCTTACTGCAAACGAAATAAAATATTACATGAATAAAAATAGGCAATCAAACGACATATACCCCAGATCACAAAGCTGTATATTTGTCATATATTGATAGATTATATACAATCATTTTACATTATATATATAAACATCAAAATGTTATTAGTGGTTGTTTTTAGAATTCTTGGTACTTCCCTCTATTCCTCACAATCCCTCCTTTTGTAATTAAGAAGGTAGTAATTGACAAGACAGCTCAGTAGCTATACCTGTGTGTGCTGGGGGAGACTTACACACTTGCATAAATAAACCCCACCATCGTGGCCAGGTCTGACTCGGTTCTTGGGGGACCCCTGCTGCTGGCTCTCTGAGCAGGCTGGCTCAGGCAGGTAGGGGTGCAGGGGTCCCCCCAGCTCTTCTCCTCTCCTCAGTGCAGATGGGGAGTTTGCAGTGACCCACATGACCAAGGCCCACCTCTTCTCCACGGGCACTGTGCACTGGGTGCCCCCGGCCATCTACAAGAGCTCCTGCAGCATCGACGTCACCTTCTTCCCCTTCGACCAGCAGAACTGCAAGATGAAGTTCGGCTCCTGGACCTACGACAAGGCCAAGATCGACCTGGAGCAGATGGAGCAGACAGTGGACCTGAAAGACTACTGGGAGAGCGGCGAGTGGGCCATCGTCAATGCCACGGGCACCTACAACAGCAAGAAGTACGACTGCTGCGCCGAGATCTACCCCGACGTCACCTACGCCTTCGTCATCCGGCGGTTGCCCCTCTTCTACACCATCAACCTCATCATCCCCTGCCTGCTCATCTCCTGCCTCACCGTGCTGGTCTTCTACCTGCCCTCCGACTGCGGCGAGAAGATCACGCTGTGCATCTCCGTGCTGCTGTCGCTCACCGTCTTCCTGCTGCTCATCACCGAGATCATCCCATCCACCTCGCTGGTCATCCCGCTCATTGGCGAGTACCTGCTGTTCACCATGATCTTCGTCACCCTGTCCATCGTCATCACCGTCTTCGTGCTGAACGTGCATCACCGCTCCCCCAGCACCCACACCATGCCCCGCTGGGTAAGGGGGGCCCTTCTGGGCTGTGTGCCCCGGTGGCTTCTGATGAACCGGCCCCCACCGCCCTTGGAGCTCTGCCATCCCCCAGGCCTGAAGCTCAGCCCTTCTTATCACTGGCTGGAGACCAATGTGGATGTGGAGGAGCAGGAGGTGGTGGTAGAGGAGGAGGACAGATGGGCATGTGCAGGTCACATGGCCCCCTCCATGGGCACTCTCTGCAGCCACAACCACCTGCACTCCGGGGCCTCAAGTCCCAAGGCTGAAGCTCTGCTGCAGGAGGGTGAGCCGCTGCTGTCACCCCACATGCAGAAGGCACTGGAAGGCGTGCACTACATTGCTGACCACCTGCGGTCCGAGGATGCTGACTCTTCGGTGTGTTGGGGTTGGGAGGGGGGCCAGCCTGGGTGGCCCCATCAGCCTAGCAGGGAACCACCTCACCCCAGAGTGTGAGCTCGGGCAGCTCAGGTCCCTCCTGTAAGGACATGCTTCCCTGGTCATGGTCCTTAGAAACAAGGAATAAATGGAGAGAGAGCACGTGTAGCTGGCCACTTTGAGGACACTTTTTGGCAGGTGGCAGGTTACACACCATGGGATCAGGCATGAGCAGCTCAGCCTAACAGGAAGCCTGAGAGCTGGAGAGGGAGGACCCCAGATGCTGAACCCTGGGACTCCCTGAGGTCTCCAGCTCCCACTATTGCTTTGGAGGCAGTGGGAGGTGGGGGGAACGTTTCAGGAGAGACCCCAAAAGTCAGCTGTGCAGTAGCAGCCTTTGTCTTGTCTTGGGTGGTCTCTTCCTCCACCTCCTTGTTCATGGGCTCTGGGCATTTTGCAAACTTCATTCTTCAGCCACAAATCCTGCAGATTCTTGGTTTCACCAGGTGGACTCTGCCCCCCGGCCCCTGCCATGGCACCGGCCCCTCCCTGCCCCCTGCCCCAGCCCACCTCTGCCATTGCTATGTGAGCAGGCCCCTGCTCTAGCACAAAATTCTTATCAGCCTAGGGAAGGATGAGAGGCAGGGAGGTTATTACTGGGCCTTGCCTTGATGAATAGATCAGAAAATTAATCATGATGTAATCCAGGAGCAGTGGGGAATCCAGGCTTCCTGGCCTAGGCTGTGAGCCCAAGTTCCACAAAGCCCCCGCCCCACCCCCAGCCTGCCCGGGGTCCCAGCCACCTTCGCTGTTTCCCTCTCCCCAGCTCCAGCAGGTGGGTGAGGTGGCAGCCTGTGGGCAGTTAAGTCTGGTGTTGCACTGATGTCACTGCAGGCCCCTAGGAGGACTCGTGCCCCGGGGTGGTCCTGCTGCCATTTGCATCCCTCTAGCCTCCTTTACCTATAGCTGGGGAGCATACTATGGACAGGTTTGGGCATGTGGAGGGGCTTTGATGCGAGGGGAATCACCAAGGGAGCATGCTGGAGCCTTGAAACAGCTCATTGTCCCCTCCCTTCCAGTCACCCGGCTCCCTGCACTGACCTTTGCTCCCCTGGGTCTCTGTGGGGCAGTTGCTGCTGTCCCCATTGGCCGTCCGTGCAGGGGCTGTGCATGGGGGGCTGTGTCTGCTTCCCAGGGCTGGCCCCTGTCACTGTGCGCTGTCTTCCTCACAGGTGAAGGAGGACTGGAAGTACGTCGCCATGGTCATCGACAGGATCTTCCTCTGGCTGTTTATCATCGTCTGTTTCCTGGGGACCATTGGCCTCTTCCTGCCTCCGTTCCTAGCTGGAATGATCTGACCGCACCTCTCTCGAGTTGGCTCCCAGGGCACCCCTGCTGACCATCTTTTGACCATCTCTGCTGCAGCTGCCTCTAGTGTCCCCTTTGGGGTCGGCAGGTGCCTCTCCGTGGAGTCCTGACCCTGGCCCCGGCATCAAAGGCTTCCATCCAGCTTAACAGGATTGTTCCAGGGCTGAGAGCCTGCTAGATGAAAAGCTCTGTTTGGGATGCTGAGGAGCTAGGGAGGCTCTGCAGAAGGTCACAAGATGGTGGTGACCAAGTGGAGCAGAGTCAGATTTTCCTGGAGGAGCAGTGCAGATCCCAAGTGACAGAAGAGTCAACCCGCGGGATGCTGGGGCCAGGGTGATGAGGAAGGGAAGGAAGACCTCAAAGGAGGGGTCGTGGGGCAAAGGGGAGGGTTCCTTGGGGTGGAAGGGCTCTGAACCATGTTTGGATTTGGGAATGAGCCCAAAGTGCCAGAACAGCCGGGAGAGGTGGGAGCTTGGAGAGCCAGGTGGGGTCTCTCTAAGCCAGGCTGGGGATGAAGTTCAGAGTCTGTCCAAGTCTGCAGGGCTCTGAGCTGGACGGTCCAGCAGGGGAGTGATACAGGCTCTTCCGGAAACGGGAGTAAGTGGGAGGCAGGGCCTGCGTGTGGGGTGGATCTTCCCTAAAGGGGAGGGATGGATGGTTGGATACAGGTGACTGGGCCATCCCATCCACCTGGAAGCACCTTGGAGCCCCCAGGCTTCTTTTTGACGTCACTCCCCTGCCTTCCTTGCTGCAAAGTGGCCGTGCACCAGCAAACCCCAGGAGGTCTGGCACAGCTGAGAGCCACGGCCTGCGGGGGCTCCATATGTCCCTACACATGCAGCGGCCAAACAAGAAAGACCATCCTGAGCTGCTCCTGACCCAACTCAGACTCGTCTTGTTTGCCCTGCCCTTCCTCCCTCCTCCTCTCCTCCCCTCCTCCCGTTCCCGTCTCCCCAGGCACCCCGTTCCCTATACCTGGCTCCATCAGAAGGAGGCCTCACTTGGGAGCTGCTTTGCCTTTAGCTCCTTTGATTCTAAACTTCTCAAGGGCAGGGCCTCTGCCTGTTACTTTTCCCACCCCCAGCACCCAGAATGGCGCAGGGTGAGTGCTGCACTCAAGGCATTTGCTCTGACTGGTTGAGGAGAGCAAGCTGGCTTGTTTGGGCCCCAAGACTGCTGTGCAGATGGCAAAAGCTGTGGTCCCGTTCCTTCCCAGCCTGCCCCATCTCCTCCAGAGCCCCGAGGTGTGTTGACCTGCCCTGAACCATTCAGAGCAGCCTGTGTGTGCACCTTGGAAAGCATCTGGAAGCCCAGGCTGAACAGCTGCTCCTGGGATCACGGACCAGACCTCTCCCCGGCTCTGTCCAGACCCGAGTGTGATCTTGGCAGCTAACAGATATAGCCACTGGGTTCTCACGACGGCATGGAGGCTCCAGGCAGGAAGCTGAGCAGGGGGAGCTTCCAGTTTTTCTGGTCCTAGGGGTCCCCTCCTTCCAAACCCTGAAGTGTCTCTCCCTGACACTCCCAGGGGACACCTGCCTGCCTTTGACACCCTGGCCCAGGCCCCACCACAACTCGCCTCTCTCCCACAACCTCCTGCTCATGGCTCATCTGGTCTCTGGCTCCTGTCTTACTTCTGTGCACGCAGCCCCCGGCCTCCCCTCTCCTCCCACCTGTTCTTCGGAGGCCTCAGAGCTCTCAGGTCCAGGCTCCCAGACCCGCTGTCCTGGGACAGTGATGTTCGCTCCTGTTATCCACATCTCCCATCCACCTTGCATGTGATAAAGAGAGTAAATAAAGCTGCATCTACTGCTCACTCAACTGTGTGGCACCCTCCTTGCCAGCCACATCTCAGTGTGGCCGGGGTCACCCAAGCCCCTCCAGAGCCCGGGTGGTTTGGGGGCCCCACTGGGGGAGAAATGACATGGCATTCCTCATGTAGCCATAGAGGGTACTGTCCTGGGTCACCCCCCCACTACCCATGCAAGGGCAAAGGGGCCAGAGCACACCCCTGAGCCAATGCCGGGTATCACCGTTGGCCCCTCCTTGGCCGATGCCCAGCGCTGGACAGCTTTGATCTCCAACCAGCGTGAACATCATCAGTTTCTTCCAAGCCTGGCTCACAGTCCCCCATTCTCCCCCAGTGGGTAGGTCAAACAAACAGAACCAACCGCAAAGCAAATGGGACAATTTTAATTCAACCACAAGTCAAATAGAAAGAAGTTAAAAGAATGTTTATGCAAACACGTGAGAAAAGAAGGGTGCAGATGAGAACAGGGGTGGGAGAGAGAACAAAGGGGGGGAGTAAGAAAAGAGAGAAAAGGGAAAGAAAGGGAGAGTAGAGGGAGGAGGAGAAAGGGGCAGGAAGAGAGTGGATTCGGCCCAAGGTCCTGTCCCGGCCCCATCTCTCTGCTCCTTCCCCCGATGCTTGGTTTGACAACACAGCATCCCGTGCCCGGACTCCCAATTAGCTTGTTCCTGGACTATGTCCCAGGTCCTCTCTCAGGAGGGCACATGCTGACAGTCCAGACCAAACTCACATTAAATAAATTCCGATATACACTGTACAAGAACACCAGGCCCATCCCTCATCTCACTGGCTGCCTGACCCCCAAAACAAAGCTCCTCCCCAGCTTCTCTGTGCATCAGGGGACATCTGAGGGCCGAAGAGGAAGGGAAAGGAATAGCTTGGTTCCCAAATTGACCTGCCATGTCCATATATAAAGCTAGGGGCACCACATGACCCTCCCGCCCCCATGACCCGCCTGCATGGACTGGGTGGGGTAGGAAGGAGTGGCCAGGCAGCAGCAGTGCCCGCTCCGAGCCATCTTTGTCACCCTCACCCTGTGTCCATAGCCCAGAGTCCCCTCTGTCCAGCTGCTGCCTGAGCAGTACAGCCTGGGGTAGGGGTAGGGAGAGGGGGTCGTGCAAAGTGGCAAGGGAAAGTGACTCCCCTTGGCCTTCCCCTTGGAAGACCCACATGACCAACAGCAAGGCAGGGGAGGTACATGGCAGGCAGGGGCAGAAGACGCAGGCAGGTGGCTCCCACCCTCCGTCACTCTGCAGGTGGGTGGGCCAGATTGGCCAGAACCTTGGCCTGGTCGACGGCATCGAGCAGGTTCTTGGCATCCACGGCCAGGGTGTGTGAGGCTGTCAGCATCTGTCTCTTGCACTCCTCACTCAGGGAGGTCACGGCGTTCTGCTGTGCCAGCCGCATCTTGTTGATGAGCTCCGCCAGGTCTTTGTTGAGCAGTTTCTGGGTACCCTCGATCTGTAGAAAGATCACACAGCAGAGGCTGAGGGGGCCACAAAGCCCATGCCTGGAGGATGGGGAAGCCACAGAGGTATCTGCCTGTGTGCTGGCCAAGGCAGTCGGAAGTCCCCTGGAAGCAAAAGGAGCGGCCGAGGGCAACAACCATGCAGGGTGGAGCCAAGTCTACAAGGACTGCCACCACAGCCACCCCCGGCCCAGCCTGTGTAAGGCCAGCCTGACCCTCCCTTCATTACAACAGCCCCTCACGCTTTCTAAAATGTGAATTTGATCATACCACTATTTTTTTTTTTTTTGAGACAGTTTTGCTCTTGTCACCCAGGTTGGAGTACAGTGGCATGATCTCAGCTCACTGCAACCTCCACCTCCCGGGTTCAAACAATTCTCCTGCCTCAGCCTCCTGAGTACCTGAGATTACAGGCACCCAATACTATGCCTGGCTAAGTTTTGTATTTTTGGTAGAGATGGGGTTTCACCATGTTGGCCAGGCTGGTCTCAAACTCCTAACCTCAGATGATTCTCCTGCCTGGGCCTCCCAAAGTGCTGAGACTGTAAGTGTGAGCCATCATGCCTGCTGGCCATCCACAGAAGTCTTGAACCCCTCAAAATCATCCACGAGGATTGGAATCTACTTCTTCCAAATGGTTCATGATATTCTGACCTCTTCCCATGAATTACAAATGTTCCTAATATTACCTAGAATGGTAAATCCTTTCCAAAATGTTTTCAATGGACTTTGCCCAGATCCATAAGAGAAATCACTATATATGGCAGCTATAGCTTTAGAAATGTATTTCTTAAATAACAGAAATTGAAAGTACAAATTACTCCTTGATCCATGGCTGCAAAAGAGATGCAATGAAAACATTAATCTTCTATATCTCCGTCTGATATCTTGAGTGAGTAGACATGTTGTCAGTTAGTAATATTTTCAACATCTTTTTCTGAGTAGTAGACCTCATCAGTGGGCTTACGATATTCAGTAAAACATGATGTAAACAGATGTGCAGTCATCCAAACTTCATTATTACATTTACAGAGCACAGGCAGAGTAGATTTTGCCCCCCCACCCCACCTTTTTTTTTTGAGGAGTTTTGCTCTTGCTGCCCCGGCTGGAGTGCAATGGAGTGATCTTGGCTCACCACAACCTCTGCCTCCCAAGTTAAAGCAATTCTCATGCCTCAGCCTCCCTAATAGCTGGGATTACAGGCATGCCCCACTACATCCAGCTAATTTTGTATTTTGAGTAGAGATGGGGTTTCTCCATGTTGGTCAGGCTGCTCTTGAACTCCCGACCTCACGTGATCCACCCACCTCGGCTCCTAAAGTGCTGGGATTACAGGCGTAAGCCACCATGCCCGGCAGATTTAGCTTAATTCCTAAGGGCCCTAAGATTGTCAGAATGCCCAGTAAGTATGGCTTCAACCAGTCACTTTAGCCCCTAGCAAGAGTCAGTCTGTCGTTTGAAGTTTTGAAGCCAGGCATGGACATCTTCTCTAGCTATGAAACTCCTAGATGGCATCTGCTTCCAACAGAAAGCCGTCCATCGACATTGAAAAATCCATGGTTTAGCAGAGCCACCTTCATCCGTGATCTGAGCCAGGTCTTCTGGAGAACCTGCTGCAGCTTCTCCATCAGCACGTGCTGTCTCACCTTGCCCTTTCATGTTACAGAGATGGCTTCCCTCCTTAAACCTCATGAACCAACCTCTGATAGCTTCCAGCTTTTCTTCTGCAACTTCCAGAACCTCTCAGCCTTCATAGAATTGAAGGCTTTGCTCTGGATTAGGCTTAGGCATAAAGGAATATTGTGGCTGGCTTGATCTTCTATCCGGGGCACTCAAACTTTCTCCCTATCAGCAGTAAGGCTGTTTCACGTTCTTATCACTCATGTGTTCACTGGAGTAACTCTTAATTTCCTTCAAGAACTTTTTCTTTGCATTCACAGTGTGTGTAAGTGGCAGAAGAGGCTGACTTCTGGCCTATCTTGGTTTTCAACATGCTTTCCTCACTCAGCTTAATTATTTCTAGCTTTTGATTTAAAGTGAGAGGTGGGCGACTCTTCCTTTTACTTAAACACTCAGAGAACACTGTAGGGTTATTAATTGGCCTAATTTCAATATTGTTGTGGGCCAGGGAAAAGGGAGGCCCAAGGAGAGGATGGGGGAATGGCTGGTTGGAGGGACAGTCAGAATGCACACAACATTCAGTGCTAAGTCTCATGTAGGCAGTTTACGGCCCCTCAAAAGGATTACAATACTAACACTGCTCATCATTGATCACCAATCACCATAACAGAAATCATAATGAAAAAGTCTGAAATATTGTGAGAATTACCAATACGTGACAGAGACACAAAGCGAGCAGGTGCTATTAGAAAAATAGCACCAATAGGCTTTCTCAAGGGTTACCACAAATGTTCAATTGGTAAAAAACGAAGTATCTGGGACGTGTAATCAAAGCAAAGAGCAATAAGGTGAGGCGTGCCTGTTCTGAGCTGGCACTCAAGAGTATTTACAAATGAAGTGGATGGATGAATCAATGAATGAATCGGCATCCTAAGGGTAAGGAGCTCTCACATGAAACAAGGCAGCTCTGCCTAGGGCTCCTGTATGGGTTGTCACTGTCCCCCAGAGAGGCGCCAGGAAATGGCCCAAACTCTCCTGCCTTCCCCCACCTTGGGCAGCCACTGACAGTGGGGACAGTGGTGGGATGTGGTAGTCATCTGTGTCACAGGGCTGGCCACTGGGAGGCAGGGGACCAAAGGGCTCCAGATGGACAACCAACAAACATCTATGGCGCTGTATCACGTGCCTATGGCTTTGGTAACAAATTACCAGAAATGCAGTGGCGGAAAACAACACAGATTTATTGTCTTAAAGTTCTGAAGGGCAGAAGTCTCAAATGGTCCCCACTGGGCTGAAGTCAAGGTGGCCACGGGCTGGTTTCTCTCTGGAGGCTCTGGGGAGAACCTGTTCTGTGCCTTCTCCAGCTCTGAGAGGCTGTCGCCTTCCTTGGCCTGAGGCCTCCTTCCAGCCGTCACATCTGTCACTCCGACCTTGTGTCTCTAGTCACACACTACCTCCCTCTTATTGATTGATTGATTGATTTTGAGATAGAGTCTCATTCTGTTGCCAAGTGCAGTGGTGTGACCACAGCTCACCGAAGTTCCACCTCCCAGGCTCAGTCAATCCCCCCACCTCAGCCTCCTGAGCAGCTAGGACTACAGGCGCGGCCACCATACCCAGCTAATTTTTATATGGTTTTGCCATGTTGACCAGGCTGGTCTCAAACTTGTGAGCTCAAGCAATTCAACTGTCTTGGCCTCCCAAAATGTTGGCATGATCAACGTGAGCCACCACACCTGCCAGTGTTGTCACAGAGATCCCTGTAAGACCAGAACCCCTGATCCTGGGATCCCCGTGACAACGCTGGACCCACTCCAATAATGGAGCACGATCTCCCCATCTCAAGGTCCTTAACTTTATCACATCTGGAAAGTCCCTTTTGCCATGAAAGGTGACATGTTTCCCAGTGCCAGGGT